ACCAAGTTTTGGACCAGAGCAGATTGATACAGCAGTGACATTCAGCTGTGAAAATGGGACTAAGCAATTTGCATAAACAGATTTGCTCTGCAATTACCAGGTTTCCACAGCACAGTGATGCATAGAGAATAGGGAAGTAAGAAGCCACTGATGATGCCAGGTAGCTAATTTTCAGATGTAAATAATCCAACTGTTTCAAAATTATTTTAAAAGTTAAATTACTGTGACACAAAGCACAAAAGATGGCAAATCTCATTTGGAGGGTTTTGTTTGTGTTTTGAGGGGAGAGTGACCTGCATGCTATATGCCAAGTTTTGCATCAAAACAGGTGCAAAGTAGTGTATAGAATCTATTTTATGTAGCTGTGTATCTGGTTTTAATGGAAAGGAGTTGTGGTTATTTAGGAATAATACAGTTTCTAAAATTGCACTAAGTTTATTTTTTGGTACCTGTCTCTTCACCAAGTTTTTTTTCTCATGTTGGTACCTCTTAATAAGGATTTGAGCTTGCACAAGTTCAGTGCCTGTATCTTTCTGTGGTTTTGCCTCAAGTGTGAGCGTTGGAGAGATCGTTGTTCTGCAGCAGTCCATGGAGCTCAGATCTAATTGGAAAAGCCTCTGGAGTTAATTACTGCCTTGCATGTCATTGTCATCCAGTTAACTGGATGCAGGAAATGGGAGAGGCAGAAATCCAGCTCAATTTGGACATAACTCCACTGGGAAGGAGAGGATAATACAACTTTTCCAAGAGAGGTGCTGGCATTTCAGGCTCCTGGAGGTGTGAGTTTTGCCTATGCTACTTTGAGTCAGATCCAGGGAGGTCTCTGCCCACTGCTGCAAACTGGCTCGAAGCCCACATTTTCTGTCAGATTGTTTATCCATTTTTATATCCCACCAGCTCCTACTGCTGATGGAGAAGAAAAATTACTTTTCTTCCTACAGAAATTCTGTTCCTTAGAAAATTAAGTAAGCACATCCAGCTTGGCCCAAAAGCAGCTTATTGGAATGGCACTTTTATTCTTGTAATTAGTTATTTTCTTATGTAAAAGGTTTATTAAATTGTTGATCCTCTTAATGCTAAAATTCACAATGAGACTCACAAGTGGCATATTACATCCTGAAGTGATTCTGTGCTTAGTAAGTCAGTCAGCCCAGAGTAGGTTTATTTAGGTGTATAAATATTGTTCCTGTTTTCCTTGGTGAGTGGCTGTGCCTGTTGTGTAGAGCTGTGGGACAGTGGGGTCAGAGCACTGGCTGTGGTCAGGGCTGTGGAAGGTGCAGCTGGGAGAGAGAGCGACCTGGACTCAACCTTACTCAGTGGTGCTCAAAGGGTGGAGCTCACTCTGAGATTTCCCAGGGGCAGTGCTGGAAGCACCAGGAGATGGATAGGTGCAGCTGCTGTGGCTGCAGCTGTTGGGGTTCATCTCCTTAGAGCCAGGCTCAGCCTGGAGCCCTGTGTCTAGGGGAGTGGGTGCTCCTGCAGCCTGCTTGGCTTTGTCCAAAGGAGGCACCAGCATGATCTGAGGAATGAAGCAGATCTGCTGTGAGGAGAGGCTGAGAGAACTGGGATTGTTCAGCCTGGAGAAGACAAACTTGTGGGTGACCTAATTGTGACCTTCCAGAGGCTGAAGGGGCTGAGAAGGAAGATGGAGAGAGACTGTGGACAAGGACCTGGAGCAACAGGATAAGGGGAATGGATTCCCACATCCATGGGATGTTAGGAAGAAATTCCTCCCTATCAGGGTGGTGGGGCCCTGGCACAGGGTGTCCAGAGAAGATGTGGCTGCCCCTGGATCCCTGGAAGTGTCCAAGGCCAGGCTGGATGTGGCTTGGAGCAGCCTGGAATAGTGGAAGGTGTCCCTGCCCATGGCAGAGGTGGAACTGGATGATCCCTAAGGTCCCTTCCAACCCGAGCCATTCCAGGACTCTTCTCACATTATCTGAAGCAGGGGAGTGGACCTGAAGTACCAGAGCATTCCTGGTGACTATAGCAGGACCCTCACATGGATAATGTGGTTGTAGCCTCACCCCTGTGCATCTGGAGTTCAGTGGGATGAATCCCTCTCTCCTTCTGGCACTGGTCTGGTTGACCACTTGAAAACAAGAAGGAGAATGACAATGACTTACTCACTGCAGCTCTCAGTGATGTGGTGAAGCTCAGGTACAGGTGGCCTGTGTCAGGGTGAAATGGGAGCTTCAGGGAGGAGTGACAAAGATTGTCCTGGTGTTCATCCCACACATGGGCTGCTAGCTTGGGGTTGTGGTGGTCCAACTGTAAAGTTTTGGGGGTGGAGACCAATGCAGCTATGTTGTGTTACTAGTCACAGCTTTGGAACAGAGCCAACTCTGTTCAGAGATCTGCTGGATCAGTTTAGAACCATTGGGACTGATGTAACATCAGGGCAATTATCTGTTTGTTCCTGTCATTAGAAAAGGGATTTGATGGAATACTTTTTGGCTCCAGGCCTGTAAGAGAAGTAACACTCAAGTGCCTTTCTTCCTCTTGGTTCAGCATTCCCTCTTTGGGACATTATTCACGTTTTTAGTGCATTGTATAAAGCAGAAAAAGCTCATTCAGCTGGTGTCACCCACATCACTGATGGGTAATCTCTTGCCAGCATCACTTGTTTTTCTGGTCTTTCTCTGTGAAGTCTGCACTGGTCTTGCTGTTTGATCACTGCTCTTTCCATAACAGTCTCACTGAAGCCCCTCATTCCTCTGGATCACAGTGGGAGAACCCCATGGGGCAGAGTGTTTGTCCCTTGTGATGGAGAATTCAACCCCAGCAGAGCTCATGGCTTAGGCAAAGGCAGCTGGAGGAAGGAGGGGATGGGAAGGTATCACAGAACAGAAAGAATTTGGAGTTCTGGCCTCACTGAAGTAAATTAATTTTACTGATTAAGAAGTTTTAATATCCTCAAGCAATTAAACCAGTAGTTTCAAACATCTATTTTAGAAGTTCACCTTCCACATATAAGCAGCTCTGTCATTTACTTGTTCTCCATTGTGTGAGCATTCCAGCTTTTTGCAGTGCCTCTGCCTGAATCTAAATGCACAGATGTCTGGAAAATCAGGTACTTAATGAGGAGTCCAAGTATGGAGTTTGGGAATATCTATTTCACTCCCACCTTTCTGAAAATCTCCACTTTAGAAACCAGAAGTAGCAATGAATTGTCACCTCCCTGATCCCCATCCCAAGGGTCAGTTTTCCCTGGTTAAAAGACAGAATTCAACTTAAGCACATCTGAGGTTTGTACCCCCACTCAGAACAGAGGGGCTCCTGCTCAGCAGGCAGAGTCCAGCCATGTTTTAACCTCCTTGCTTTTCCTGTGTCCTTCCCTGCAGGCCAGAGGTGCCGACATTCCGGACATCCCGGGGGAACTGCCGCTCAGGTCCTGCGGCAGCACAGCCAGCATGAAAGTGAAGAATGTTAAAAAGTAAGAGCAGAGTTCTGTGATTTTCCTGTCTTTCCTGGTCTTCCAGTTTTGCTGTGCTGAGTTTTGGCTGTTGTGCTGCAGTGCAGGGAATTCAGCAACAATTTGTGATGGTGTATCTTCAGCAGAGCAACCAAAATCCATGTGGAGCTGAGGCAGTTGGAACTAATGGACCCTAAAGCTGGGCATGAGAGGTTTTGCTGGCTCACTCTCCTCTTTCTGGCCATAGAAACAAAGCTAGGTAGAGTTTTGAGCCTCACTGTTGCAGTGTTTTTAATTCTCTTTAGCAATTCTTCCTGAAAGCAATTAAAAAATACCCACAATAGAACATACAGAGAAAAATCTCCAAAGAAGCCCAGGCAATGTGTAAAATTTTCCCTGTCTCCTTATGCTCTGGAAGCTAAACCAGGATAAGTGGGTGGCCTATATGTATTTTTTATTCGATTTTTTTCTCTTTCCTTCTTGCATTCTGCCCTCTGCAACTTAATTTGAATGGATTTTACATGGTTTTCCCTTCTAAGGGATGTTTTTTCTTCCCTGGTCTCCCAGTTTGGTTTTTTTTCCCCCTGTGGGCTCATGCTGTATTTCTGTCTCTGCTTGTCTCCCAGATACTGTAAACCAAGTCATTATGCTTGCAGCAACGGGGATCAGAAATAATCAATATTACTTTGCTAAAAATGCTGACTTGAGGAGCAGAACTCCCCGATATTGATGGATCTGAGCCTTCAGCTCACCCCTCTAGTGCTCTACTGAGAGGGAAATGGCTCTTTGTTCCAGTGCTGAGCAGCCAGATGCTGTATCTCACTTCCCACTTGTATTCCTGTGGGAAGAGGGAGCTAGATAATGACAATCTCATTGGCTCACCACCAGGAATATCTATAGGAGTCTATAATAGCTTCGGCAGAAGCAGGAGCATGTTGCAGAGACAGAGGAGCTCCCCGGCAGCTACCAGTATGACTGGAGACACTTGGGAATAATTATGCCTGACTTTTGAATTTGCAAAAGGCACAGCATAAATAGAGTTTGTTCTGCACCCTCAGATACATCCCCCCGGGACTGATGGGCTGTGATGCCTTTCACAGGTAAAGTTCTGCTTTCCTCGTGTCTCGTGTAAGGCTGTGGATGTGCATTTGTGAGGTGCAGCTGCTTGTCCCTGCTCCGTGTCTGGAAGCCTGTGGGATGTGGTGCTGCTGGAATGTCACACACAGTTCTGCAGGGATGCAATGGGATGTGGTGCTGCTGGAATGTCACACAGTTCTGTAGGGATGCAATGGGATGTGGTGCTGCTGGAATGTCACACACAGTTCTGCAGGGATGCAATGGGATGTGGTGCTGCTGGAATGTCACACACACTGCTCTGTAGGGATGCACTGGAAAAGCCACTTGACATTTCAGCTTTCCTTTCTCACTTGGTTCCCTTCCCCACTGTTTTGGTGCATCACATCAACAAATCCCTATGTTCCCTTGGCTTTAGGATGAGAAAGTTGTTGTTTTGTATCAGTGCCTGTTTTTTATCTCTGTTGAGTGGTCTGCATCTATCTCACAGTATGCTCTTGGTGTGCTCCAGGTTATCCTTTACAAAGGGGCACTTCCCGAAGATGGCCGAGTGTGCACATTTCCACTATGAAAACGTTGACTTTGGTAACATACAGGTGAGTCTTGGATTTATTTTATACACAAAACACCTTGTGCTTCCTTCTCGCTGACCTGGTGGGGAAGCATAGATGGACCTCCACTGAGGCTTATTTAGTTTGTTGCTAAATGTTTAGTTATAAGAAGTTAAAGCTGTAGAGACTTTGTATGGAATTGCTTCTGTGTGCTGGGGCAGAATATGCACTCAGTCATGTGGAGCTCTCCTTTTGAGCTTGGCTATGGTTTTATTTCCACTGGATTTGGCTGATGTCACTGTTTTAAGACTGTATCAAACATTCAGTCTTGAATCATCTGTAATCACCGCATGTGTATTTTTGGTTTGCGTGTGTGTGTGATTAAACAATTGTGTGAATGCATTTATGAAAATATAAATAATTGAATTTACCCCTTCCCTTAGCTCTGCATTGTGCATTGCGGCAGCTGTGTCATCAAAATACCAGAAACTGCTGTCAGCCCGAGCTGCATTTCTGGAGTGTGCAGGCTTTGCTCCTCTGTGATCCCTCCCTGATGAATACAGGCAGAAGCATTTTCTGGGGAGGGCTGAGACCCAGGAGTTTCTCACAAACAGGACACGTTTTGTTCTGCACTTAGAGGAGCAGGAATGCCTCCAGCATCTGCCAGCCTTGTAGCCAAAAGGAGGTTACAACCTTTTCATTTGTAAAACATTTCCTGTAATACCAAGTGAATTATTTACAGCCTTTCATGCTGCCATACTTCACACTTCTGCAAGCAGAATTATGCAGCTGGGTTTTTTTCCCAGTCTCTGTAAAATTCTGGCTGGGAAGGAGCCTGGGTCCTGTTCAGGGCTGGGATCTGCTGTTGCTCACACTTGGTTCTGCTGTGTGGGCTCTGCAGACACAGGCACACGTGAGAGAGCTGGAGCCACCAAGTACTCGGCACAAATAGGGTGCAAAGAGCTCAGTTCCCATGGAGTGCCTCAGAAACGGGCAAGTAGGAGTAGTCCTCACTCTGCTGAAAACTGCTTATTTTCATTTTCTGTGTGTAGGAACAGTGTGGTTGATCCATGTCCATGTTTTCTGTCTCCTGGTAATTTGTTGATTTGACACAACTCATTTTTCAGTCATTCTGGAGAGAAGCTTTATTTTGAAGCAGGTCTGTGTCCGCATAGGTGTGGTTTTTACATCCTGTGGTCCTCTGAGCTCTCCCTCCCATCATCCAGGGATGTTCAGCACAATGTGCAGCTGGAGAAGGGAGCACAAGCTGTGCATGGCACATTGTTTTGATGACTAATAATTAATTCTTTTGTGGGTTTAAGCATTTCCTGGATGTTTACAGAATGGCAGGGCAGACCTGTGGGGTTCATCTTTATGTTTTTGAGAGGCAGAAGTAAAATCAGGTAATACATCCTTTCCAGGTTTTCATGAGGCATGCTGGGAAGTTCCCACAGCAGGAGTGGTTTAGTTCTGCTTTTTGTGATGTGGCTTCTACTCCTGCAGCTTTCCCTGCTCTTGCTCAGTGGTCCCCTGGCACAGCCAGACCAGAGGCTGTAACCAGAGGTCTGCCTGAAAAGCAAAAATTGTGGAAGGATGAGCACAGCAGAAGACATAAAAATGGTATTGGTTATTGAGCTGTTACTGGTTATTATTAACAGCCCTGAGCTGTTTTCTGTGTCTGTGCTGTGAAACCAGGAAGAAAACAGGGGCTGGCGGCAGCATGAGAAGAACTGTCATAAGATTAAGACTCTGTGTTTTGAGGGGTCAGGTCTCTGTTTCCACCACATCTGCCTTTGAAAAACCCTGTGTGTTTAGCTATTTGTGTATCTAAAGTAAAATTTGTGCCTAAATAAGGTGACTCAGGCCCTCTGTGCCTCTGATTACTTCCTTTTCCTAAGCAAGGTTTCTGATAAAACCCCACAGTATCAGGACTTTTTATATGGTGAAAAATCTCTTTAAGAACAAGAGCTTTGCTGCTAAAATGTGAAAAGATAAAGCATTGCAGCACTTCCTTAGAATACCAGTATTAATGGTAAGATAAATGAAAGCTGTTAATACAACAGCAGTATTAATTGGGAGATTTAAAAATAGGTTCACACAGGGCTCATGCATTTTAATCAAGTTGGAGGCTCCTTTGTGCTCCTAAGGTAGGGCAGAGAATAGCAGTGGGCTGGAGTGATGGGAAGTGACAGCTTGGCACCTAATAGAGAATTACTGAGTTGCATCTGAGGGGTGGTGGGTGTAAACTGCGTTCAAAATCTATTCACTGCTAGAAATTTGCATAGTAGAAATACAGTATTATCTGTCCATGTCAGGAATTGTGTAATGCTGTCTATTAACAGCCTGGCCAAATTTCAGATTGTTTTGTAACGTTTATGTCACTTATAATATGGTCTCATGGTGCAGGAGGTATTTATAGCCTGGCATTTCACCTCATGAGATCATTTTAAATTAAATTGCTGAGAGGTATGAAAAAGGATTTGTTCTCTTCTTATCCTTGCACCGTGCTAGTGAGGCTGGGTGCATTTTGGGGGGCTTTTCCTCTTCAGAAATGTCCTCCCACGCTGCTTCCAACAGCTCTACCTTACACACACCTGTGGCTGGCCAGCCGGGCACGTGTGGCATCCCAGGAAATTGCTGGTTGCCAGGCAAAGGCAGTGATGTCAAAGCTGTACCGACAGGTTGAGCCTCACAGATTGCATCAGTGCCCAAAATTCACTGGCATTTTGCTGAAATACCTTATGTTCATTGCTGCGTCTCTTTTGAGGGCTGCATAATTAATTTCTAATGAAAAGCCAGGTTCTGCCTCATGAATGTGTTTTAATCTGACATGGGATAAATGTTCAGAACTGTGGTTCAACTTCTTCATGGTCCGTCTCCCAAGGAGATGCAATATTTCTTCTCAATTTACCTTTTTCCTAATTTAGCTTCTTCTCAGTTTACATAAAATACAAGGTATCTCCCTTTTAACTTTTTTGACCTGGTTCTCACTCATTGAACACACTGGTGGTAAGTCTACATAAAAATCTCTGTACAAATACAAGGTCATTTCCAAGTGGTTAAATAGCATTTTTGCAGAAGAGTCTGTAATTACACCTTTGAAATGATAAAAATGCACACTGTTTAACATCAGCTCTTTGCATCTAGCAAGTGCAAGCTTTGTTTTATATCTGTTGTTTTCTGTCTGATTTATGAATAAATAACTGAAAAGAACTCATCAGAACTCCGTGGGACCTATTGAAGCAACTTCAAATTCACCAAGTTTAAAAATGTGAGATAGAAAAATGGATATGGAGTCCCATATCCTTTTGCTTGCATTAAGAACTGACTCTAGATTGAGACATGGTTAAATTTCTTTTATAATTTAAGAAGATAGTAATGTAATTGAATATGCTAAAAAATGACTGTCAGGTTTCCAGGAGCATTTGGACTCCCAGGGATGCACAGGGAGGGATTGCTGAGGTGTCTGTGCAGGGTCAGAAGTTGGACTGGATGATCCCTGTGGTCTCTTCCAATTCAGGATATTCTGTGATTCTATGAAATATGGTTTTACTTTACTTAGTGCTAAATGCCATTAATATAAACAGGAGAAACGATGATTAGGAATTCCTTAAAGATCTACTTCCTGCCAGGAATAAATACTCTGTTCTTTACTTGAAAGAAAGACATTATCTTCAGCTGAGTAGGTTTTGGTAATGGAATATGGAGAGCTGATCAGCTTCACGCTTCCCAGACAATATTCTTTGCTCCCTCAAAAGCCATTTGCTCAAGGCAAGCGCTGTAATGCACATTCATATCACTTCAGCATCTTGCATTTGACACAGAATTATCCCTTCAAACAGCGCAGTCTCTGTGTTTGCCTTGCTGTATCTGATGTCTAAAAATAAATCCCTGTGGGAGCAGGACAGGGTTACAGATCAGTGCAGCCTTGGCAGGCCCATGGCAGGAATTGTGTTATCGGTGGTAAAGGAAGTGTTTGAGGCAGAATCACTTCCGCCTGCGCAGGCATCAGCTGCCAGGAATTCCTGTCAGGAATTGTGTGCTGTGGGAATCCCTCTGCAATGCTCCAACCAAGCTGATGGGCTGCCTCCAGCAGCAGCAGCTGGGCTTTGCCCCTGGAATTGGATGTTCCTGCCGCGCCTCAGGAGTTAGAAACATTGCAAAGAGCAGCTCAGTCCTTCTGTGCCTGTTGTCAGCAAAGCCTGCTGAGAAGATCCTTTTCAGGGTCATCTTCTTTTGGTTTGCCTTCTTTTCTTTTATTTAATGATATGCCAGGGAAGGGGGAACATGGGAGGCATGTGCTTGTGAAGGAGTCTTTGTAATTTTTTTCCTAAAACGGATTGCAAAGGAAACAGAACTGGTAAAGCCTGGCCAGATGCCCTTGGCTGGGGTTAACTGGGATAGTTTCAGGTGCCACAGCTAAAAGGAGTCTTGTGGATGAGCTGGGAACAACAGGGATGGGGATGCTCCCTTTTCCATGTCAGCCTCAGGTGGGACAGCCTAGCTTGGATCTCTCCATCAGGGATTTGATCCCTAGCCTGCTCAGTGCCTGCAATGCATGAGGGTTTGTTTGTCCCCAGCTCTTCTGCGGATCCGATGCTTTCAGTGTGTGGCAGTCGGGAGCAGCATGAGTAGCTCCTGGCTGCAATATCATTTATCCCACTCATTTTGTGAAGTGTGTAAGAAGTCCTTCATCTTTGGATGCTGTTAATCTCCTCCTAGAATTACTGGCTGGATTCTGGCCTGTTCCCCTTCTTTAAACCAAGGACTTCCCCTCCCAGTCCATGTCTTCTCCATGTGATTTCTTTCCTGTTGCCTTCCAAAGTGGTGGTGGGGATGTTGCAAGGGCTGTTTTAAGGACGTGGGCATATAAAAACAACTGTTCAGAGTGTAGGTGGAAACTGCCTCTATTAACTTAATAATTCCAGCCACAACTCCCTGAAAATTGGCACAGCCTCCTGCCAAGGTCAACAAATTTTAAAAGTTTGAAGTCTCTGGGCCAAGGTTTTTGCTGCCAAAGGAATTAGGAAAATATTCTAGTAAGT